TTTATTTATTTTAAGAAAGAGAGTGAACAGGAAAGGGGCAGAGAGAGAGGGAAAGAGAATCCCAAGCAGGCTCTGTGCGGTCAGTGCAGAGCCCCACCCCGGGTTCAATCTCCAGAACTGTGAGATTATGACCTGAGCTGAAATCAAGAGTTGGATGCCTAGCCAACTCAACCACCCAGGCACCCCTGTCGTTTCTTATTAAGGTCTATTTTAGATACGAGGCACTTTGCTGTACTTCTCGCTTTTCAGTTCTGAAAATAAGGAGAAAAACACTCAGAAAAAAAAAAAAATTAACCTTATTAAAGATCCTTGTTTTCTCAGCTTAATTGTTGCCTAGCAGAACTTTATATTTTCCTTCACTGCCTGTTTCCAGATGATTTTGGATTTATGCAGTTACAGCACCATGGACTGTCCTGAGTGACATTAACTTTGGGGATTTTTATTCTCAACAGAAAACATGGTGTTTATGTAACCAAAAGAAGAACATCAAAAAAATCTCCAACTGGCCCACTGTACAACTCTGGGAAAATTCCTTTTCTGACTCAAAACTTAAGATAAGAAAATGAGATCCTCTAAAATGTCAGCTCCTGTGTTATTGGTTTTTGTTTTAAATTGAAAAAAACCCCACTATTTTTAAGTGTTTATTTATTTTTGAAAGAGACAGAGAAAGACAGAGACAGAGGGTGAGCAGGGGAGGGGCAGAGAGGGAGGCACAGAATCTGAAGCAGGCTCCAGGCCCCCAGCTGTCAGCGTGGGCTGATCGGGGATCGATATGAGGCTCAAACCCACAAACCAGGAGATCATGACCTGAGTAGAATTTGGACGCTCAACTGACTGAGCCACCCAGGCGCCCCTATGTTACTGACCTTTGTGCTAAGTTGCTTAGACTCAGTAGTGGTGGTCAAAATAATGAGTCATCAGTAGAGCCTCAAGGCTTCCAGAGACAAGGACACAGGTTCTGTGAGCAGCAGGGGCTGAGAGGGTTCCTATCCTGTGAAGCTTTAACCTCTCAGCTGCTACATTGTGGAGAGATCTGAGGTTCCTGGAGCAGGGAAGGCATGACAGGCTGGAAGAATGGTGTCCCTGCAGGGGGCTTGCAACTATCTGCAGTAATGTTATGTCTTGCCTAGCACTGTGCCAAGCCTACAGTTGAGAATTCATGGTCCCTTATTTTTTTTCTCAATTAGTCTATCTAGGAGGTTTTCAATTTATTAATCATTCTAAGAACCTAGCAGAATGCTGCTTTTATTGGTTTTCTTTACTGATTTTTAAAATTTCATTGGTGGGGCGCCTGGGTAGCTCAGTTGGTTAAGTGGCCGACTTCGGCTCAGGTCATGATCTCACAGTCCATGAGTTCGAGCCCCGCGTCGGGCTGTGTGCTGATAGCTCAGAGCCTGGAGCCTGTTTCAGATTCTTCGTCTCCCTCTCTCTGACCCTCCCCTGTTCATGCTCTGTCTCTCCCTGTCTCAAAAATAAACAAAATGTTAAAAAAAATTACAAAAAATTAAATTTCATTGGCTTCTGCTTTTATTATTATTATGTATTCATATTGTATTTATTATATATATTTATTATTTTTACTTCTTTCCTTCGACACTGACTTTAATCTGCTGTTCCTCCCCTAGTTTCTAGGGTGGAAACATAGATCGTTTATTTTAAACCTTTATTCCTTCTAATTTAAGCATTTAAAACTAATTTGCCTTCAAATACTGGTTTAGCTGCATGCAGCAAATTTTGGTATGTTGTGTTTTTATCATTTAGTTCAAAGTATTATGTATGTATGTATTTATTTAATGTTTATTTTATTTTTGAGAGAGAGAGAGAGAGCAGGGAAGAGGCAGAGAGAGAGGGAAACAGAGAATCTCAAGCAGGCTCTGAGCCATCAGCTCAAAGCCTAATGTGCGGCTCAAACCCACAAACCTTGAGATCATGACCTGAGCTGAAATCAGGAGTCAGAGGCTCAACCAACTGACCCACCCAGGTGCCCCTTTAGTTCAAAGTATTTTAAAACTTTCCTAGTGATTTCTTCTTTGACCATGGGGTATTTAAGAGTGTGTTGCTTGATTTCCAAATATTTGGAGATTTTCCAGACATCCTTCTATTATTGATTTCTGATTTAATTCTGTTTTGGACACAGAATATATTCAGTATACTTACAGTCCTCTGAAATTTATTAAGATTTGGTTTATGGCTCAGCATACAGCCTATGTTGGTAAATGTTCCAAGTAAGATTAAAAAAGATTTTGTATTCTGCAGTTGTTGGGTATAGTGTTACATAAATGTCAATTAGGTTAAATTGGTTGCTCAAAA